TAGACACAGGTCTCCAACTAGACTCTGCAATCACGGCTCTGAAGCCACTCCTCTGTCACCCAGAGTGTCCAGGAGCTGGAAATATTGCAGTCATGCCAGATGTGTGCTCAGCTGGAAGATTTTGCAGAATTAGATGCAAAAATGAGCAAAGCAATCAAACAAACAGCTCCACAATTAGCAGCCTTGGTGGGAAATTCCCCTTATTCCTTTTCTTTTGAAATGGGTGACGTGTTTGGGGCCAAAAGCCTGGCTGTGATGCTGTCACTGGTGATGCTGGATGGCATCAGCTCTAGAACAGCAGAACAGGAGAGAGTTGGGGTGCTGCTGGCATTGTATGCACAGAGGGTATGTACCTTGGCCAGATGTTGCTGCTAAAACCTGATCAGGAGTTAAACTTATGACTCAACTGACATCTCAATTTGTAAATTACTTGATATTAACTCATCAGCCTTTCCTAGAAGACAGCAAATCCCATGTCAGCAAAACCATCCCTACCCATCAGCAGGCATCTCTGCACCCTGGCTTCATCTCTGGAAGGGTTTTGCAGCCACCACCACGATGAAGAAGAGCTCCCATTGCAGGACACAGAGGACATTCCCACACCAGGGAAGGATTTCCCAGCCAGAGCCCATCCCTGGAGCACCACAGCTCCCAGGAGAGCACTGGGAAAGGCCTTTGGTCCTCAAGCCCTCGGCACCTCGCGCGATGGCAATTTGCCGCTATAATAAAAAGCCACCCTGGTGTGACTCACGCTGTGGGGCTGGCAGGATTATTTTCCACGCGCCCCCACGGTCGATGCTGTGGTCAGTAATTAGGTTTAGAGTATTTTGGAAAAAAGCCTTGGGGTCAAACTCTTGTTCTCAATCATCCTGGCCTCCCTAACCCTGATCTTAATGGGATCTCTTCTTGGCTGGAGCTACCACGCTCATCTCTCCTTAGTCAACCACAAACAATTCATAGGAGACTGGAAGCCCCATTTCAGCTGGTTCCCTGGAAGGAAACCATTTAGGAAATCTAATTTGCCTGCGTGAGTCACCTCGCCGCATGGAATTGGACGCGTTGGGCTTTTGTTTAAGGCTTTTCAACAAAAGCCTTAAAAATTCAGCTCTTTGGCAAAGCAACAGAGATCTTGGGCGAGGGAAGCGATGGGATTCAATTCCCTCAAAGCCCAGGGAAAGTTCTTTACTATTTATATCCTGCATCAGCCCTTAAATATGTATCCAGCTCACTGCATCAGGGTGAGATGCATATTGTAACCTCCTCGGGGCAGCAGATTTATTTGCAGTGGTGTGCTGAGCCCATCGCCAGTGTCAGCACCAGCTATTATTTTAGGAAATAAACTCTGCTTGGTTTGCATAATGCTGCCCTGAAATAAACTCAGCTTAAGCCCCGGAGTCTGGGGAGGAGACCAGGTTGTTATAAAGCCACTTGGCTGTGGGTGTTTGTACGGAGGGGAAGCCAAGTGCTCCTCGAGTCTGCTGCTGCGTCAAGACCTGCAGCTAGATGAGATGCTTCGAGTGTAGAAATTAAACTGGCTTTACGTGATTTTAAAATCCTTTAGGAGGACTGGACCAGTTAGAACAAGTCCAGAGAAGGGCCACCAGGATGATCCAAGGGCTGGAGCAGCTCTCCTATGAGGACAGGCTGAAAGAGTTGGGGCTGTTCAGCCTGGAGAAGAGAAGGCTCCGGGGAGATCTTATAGCGGCCTTCCAACACCTGAAGGGGCTACAAGAAAGCTGGGGAAGGACTTTTCATAAGGGCAGTTAATGACAAAACAAGGGGAAATGGGTTTAAGCTGAAAGAGGGGAGGTTGGGATGAGATATTAGGAAGAAGTTCTTCACTGTGAGGGTGGTCAGACACTGGAACAGGTTGCCCAAGGAAGTTGTGGCTGCTCCTCCCTGGAAGTGTTGAAGGCCAGGCTGGATGAGGCTTTGAGCAACCTGGTCTAGTGGAAGGTGTCCCTGCTGCTGGCAGGGGGGTTGGAACTGGATGAGCTTTAAGGTCCCTTCCAATCCAAACCATTCTATGATTCTATGATTCCTGGTATTCCTAGCCTAGCAATTAAAAATAAAAAATAAAAATTAAAAAAAGAAAGGAAAAAGGGATGGGAAGTTGTTTTTTCTCCCCCCCAAAGCCCATCTCTGCAGACCCTTTCTGCCCTTACTTGGATCGGTTCAGTGAACCAGATATTTTCCTGCAAGTTGAGCCGTTGCCCCCGCACACTCCGCACTTGTCCAGCTTCTTGGAGGACCCGACGATGTGATCGCAGCCAGCCTTGATGCACTGGCCATGGACACAGATGGAGAGGGTCTCTGGTCCGCACAGCGTCCCATCGATCACCTAGAAATTGAGGGATGCAGAGGAGCAATTAAGGCAGAGGAGCAATTAAGGCAGAGGAGCAATTAAGGCAGAGGAGCAATTAGGGTATTTAATCTGAAACAGGGTAAGGAGGGGTGATTATCATCACTGAGCATCTTACTTTGGCCTCAAAGACTTTAAATTCGCTTCTCCCTCTGGCTCGGCAAAAGAGCTTGCATCGGTCTCGGGGTGACACTCCTGCGTACTTGGGAACCCATTCCAAGCGATTCCCTTCCACATCCGTCAAGTTGTAGCTGTTGTATTTCTCACATTGCTGCTCCCGAAAGCTTTTCCCTGGATGGAAAGGTGAAAAGTGACCCAAAAGTCATGAGAAGTTGGCAGGAAACGTTGTCCTCCATCATGGAGATGTGAGAGCGCGCTGAAGATAGCGGAAGCGTGCGGTGAGCGTGCAAGCAGAGGAGGGATGCCCCACATGTCACACCCAACCAGAAGGGATCACAACCCTCAGCAGAAGGTTATTGCCTCTCTAAAAAATATGAATATTGAAGAAAATCCCTGGCAATGGGTTTTGGTGAAATAGGGGCAGGAGATGAGCACACATTTGGGAATTGCATCCTTTTCCAAAGCTGGGCTTACCATCGGGCGGGCACTCTTCCGTGTGGCAGGACTGGTACTTGGCACGCTGGCCCTCACAATACCGGCCACCGTGCTGGGGTTTGGGGCTGTCACAGTGACGGTAGGAGAACTGCACTCCACCCCCACAGCTCCGGGAGCAAGAACCCCAGGGGCTCCATGGACCCCAGCCACCATCCACCACCGGCTGCAAGAGACCATGAGAAGCTGTGAGATTCATCCCTGAGTCCATCCATCCCCAGCTGCTCGCTCCCAGGGTGAGCAAAGGTCTGGAGCAATAATAAAATCTTCCCCCCCCAGCTCCTCTCCCCGCGTCATCAGCATAGCACTTAAGCACATACTTCACATGAAGTTATTAATGACTTCCCCCAGCCTGTTCATGTGCTCAAAGTTAAGCTTGGGTTGAAGTACTTTACTGACTGACTCAGGAATTGTTGTTAATTCCCCTGGCAGGGGAAAAAAAATGATGATTTAATTGCAGAACTGTGGCTGTTTGCTCTGGTTCAGACCAGCCCACGCCTCAGCGAAAGGCAGCGTTAATCTACGAGCTGGGCTGAGCAGTAATAATCATGGAATCATAGAATGGTTTGGATTGGAAGGGACTTTAAAGATCATCCAGTTCCAACCCCCCTGCCAGCAGCAGGGACCCCTTCCACTAGACCAGGTTGCTCAAAGCCTCATCCAACCTGGCCTTCAACACTTCCAGGGAGGGGGCATCCACAACTTCCTTGGGCAACCTGTTCCAGTGTCTGACCACCCTCACAGTGAAGAACTTCTTCCTAATATCTCATCTCAACCTCCCCTCTTTCAGCTTAAACCCATTTCCCCTTGTTTTGTCATTAACTGCCCTTATGAAAAGTCCTTCCCCAGCTTTCTTGTAGCCCCTTCAGGTACTGGGAGGCCACTAGAAGGTCTCCCTGGAGCCTTCTCTTCTCCAGGCTGAACAGCCCCAACTCTCTCAGCCTGTCCTCATAGGAGAGGTGCTCCAGCCCTCGCATCATCCTGGTGGCCTCCTCTGGACTTGTTCCAGCTGCTCCAGGTCTCTCTTGTGATGGGGGCTCCAGAACTGGACGCAGTATTCCAGGAGGGGCATTACAAGAGGGGCAAACACAAAGCTAGTCCAGGAGATGTCAAAAGTTTGGGGATCCCAAAGGGTCGAGCCTCACCTTGTCAATCCCCAATCCCACCTCATTACCTGGGGCTTCAGGGCATCCTGCAGCACGCAGTGGCCGTCCCAGCACAGCCCCCCAGTTTTGCAAGGGGTGCCATCAGCCCACGGCAAGCTGCCATTCTTGGTATGGCAAAGGGGCTCCCCGCTGCTGGTCCTGCACCAGAGCTGGGTGCAGATGTCCTCCTCCGTGGTGTTGGGGCAGTGCTGGAAGTCCTTGCCAAAGATCTGCTGGCATTGCTGGTCCAGGCTGTACAGGGCTCCTTGGCCGGGCAGCTCGGTGGGCAGGGAGAGGGGGTCAGCTGGGGCGTCGAGCAAGCAGTCACCTGGGCAAAGCAGATGGACCAAGGCTTGATGGCACCAAGCAGGGCACCCCAAACCTCTGCCTGTGGTTTAATTTGAAGCCCTTTCATCCCACACATCCCACCAGGCATTGCAAAGAGCCTGAGCAATTAAGGACAAAGCTGTCTTGGATAACGAGGCTCCTTACCGTGCCCTCCATCCAGGAACTCGGTGAGGTACATGGCACTGCAAGGAGACCAAGGCTGGGTCTTGTTTAAGTGGATGAAAAGAGGGGCCATCATATGGTGTTTCCCGAGGGGCCCGAAGAGCCGCTCGCAGGTCTTGGAGTCATCGTGGGGCATGCTGAGCACGTGGCCTGGGGAGCAAAGAGGATGGGTGAGCTGCAGCCTCCCAGCCCCTGCTCTGCTGCAGTGGGCAGCTGGGACCATCTCTAACTTATCAAGCAGTTCCTACTGCTTCAAAAGCTATTTGCTTCGATAAATCAGAAGTGATGAATAAAACGATGCTTGCTCTATCTCAGGGGGTACCCCCCGCTGTACATGAAGCAACCCAAATTAGTCAGAGCATCTCTAGGAGCAGGAAACCAAGGGGAGAAGTGCTTGGTCCCACGCCTTAACTCATCACATCAGGCAAATGAACTGATTTACATCAGCTCAGGGACTTCTAAGCACCTTTGCTGGTGCAAACCACGGTGCCAGAAGCTCCTCAGTGCTGCCCAAGGTTTGGTACCCGGTTGGGAGATGCTGACGCTGAGCTGTGCAGCATCTCCTCCCAATAGTGAGGCTGAAAAAGTAGAACCCCCCCTTCACCCCCAGGAAGGGACACATTACCCAGTTCGTGAGCCAGGGTGTAGGCTGCCTGCAGCCCCTCGTCCTCGATCACCGAGCAGCTTTTGTTGCGGTCACACATGGTGCCGATATCCGCTACTCCCAGCGTGTCACAGCTTTGGTGTCCGCAGAAATCCTGTTGGCGAGCAGCACCAAGGAGGGTGAGGCAGAGTGAAGGGGTCCCACATTCAGCAACCCCAACATCTCCAAGCAGAGCTGGGTAACCCACTGGTGGTCTGCACCCCAAATGTAACCACCCCCTAACCCCCCCACCAATTGCTTTGCTGCAAGCTCCATCCTTTGCAGGATGCAGGGATCCCTCCTCTCCCTCCATGGACACCTCAACCCCTTTCCTTTCCCCCCAAAAACCATCCTCAAGGGACCCTTCAGACCTGTCTCGTCAGCAGGATGGCAGTGTCATAGTGCTCTGGGTGCCGGTCACTCGGGGGGTTGAACTTTTGCTGCCAGCTACAGAAGTTGCGCAGGGTGAGCCCACCGTTGTCAGACACCTCCGGCCCCGCCGCTGCTTCATCTACCACCAGCACCTTCACCACCACCAGGTTGATGGAGTTCTTCAGGCTGGGGTGCTTGTAGATGCGAGCTGCCATGGACATCAGGGTCAGGACGTGGTTCTGTGGGGAAAGAAACGAAGCCTGGGTAAAACCTTTGCCACAGGGCTCTTGATTTTTGTTAGGAAAGGAGAAATTAAACTCATTTATGAAGCTTATCACATCCAGATCAACTCTGTGTTGACGGGCCAAGTGCTGCCTTTTCTATCCATGATGCTTTACACCACGTGCCAGCAGGAAGGACGAGCAGGATAAACCCAACCCTGCAATCCCTTCTCCAGCAGCCGTGAACCCTTTACACCCAGAAACCTTTCGGGAAAACCTCACGTGTCCCTGCGAGTGCTCTTGCATATTCCCAAATCATTAACCCTGCCCCTGCTGCCCCGGGGCAGGAACCACTTCAAGCACAACACACTCCCTTGGTACAAAACCACCATCATCAAACTCCTGGTCAGCAGGGTTTGAACCCAATGTCCTCAGTGACAAACTGAGACTAAAGCACTTTGATCATAGAAT